CGCTGTCTCTGTTCTTCTCTCGCTGTCTCTGTTCTTCTCTCGCTGTCCTTCCTGTCCCTCACACCTCTAGTTGGCCTCTGATAACAAGCTCAGATAGTGGGGATGGGAATGAACAAACATGGTTTCTGCTTTGCTGCCCTCAGCCTGCCAAAAAATGTAACGTAACCTCAAATTTCTAACCTGCAAAATTAGGATTATTGAACACATTTCAAAAGTAAAATTTCTCTTGCTTCCTTCAGTGTATGATATTGCTAAGAACTACACAGCTGACTACGACAAGACGTTGATCTTCAACAAAATTCATCATGAGTTGAACCAGTTTTGCAGTGTGCACACCTTACAGGAGGTCTACATTGAATTATTTGGTGAGGACTTTTTGACCTTCATTTGAAGAGAGCTTTGATTTTCATGGATGCTTGCAGTTCAGTTATGAAACATTATTTCAAATCATTCATTCCATTTACTGACTATATGCATATAGAGGTGAACTTGTTCAGTTGGTGGGCTTAAGTATGTATTCACTTTAACCGACTTAAAACTGTTGTGATTCAAATAACTGTGATTGTGCATTCATCAAACGCAGGAAAAATATTTATTCATTTTCTGTTGGTGTGAAAAAACATTGCTTTAGGGAATCTATTTTTGATTTGTTTTTTTATTCTAAACAAAATGCCTTAGATTGGAAGACCAAATGATAGAATGACAAATGTTAGATTGTACTGTCTTGATGGTTTTCATTTAATCTGCACAGAAGTCTGGTTGTGGTCATGAACTTGGACCTTTTGCTAATGAGTCAGTCACAGGAGTGTGAGAGATATGGTTGTAAATTTCACTTCAGCTTCATGTGGAATACTGAATTTCTGTAGTACAGCATTTGGAAGCACAATATGCAGGATAACAGTGGTTAATGTAGATGTTTTATCTTGGGTTCTTTTGCTATTTGAATAATTGCCTTTAATATGGTAAAAGTAAAGTCTTCCCAGACTGTAGGGCTGCTTTCTTCTTATTAGAGAGAGACAACTGGTAGTGGTTTAACCTGAGAGTCACCACGTCTCGGGTGATGGGAGAGGTTTAGAAGGAGATGATAATCTGGGCCAGTGTGGAAATTGAACCCATGCTGTTACGTCACTCTGCGCCACAAGCAGCCATCCTGCCAACTGAGCTAGCCAACTGCCCTTAATATGGCACTTGACTGCATTCAAACATGTTCCAATGTTGTTTGTATTCATACATTTTTGTTTATGCTTTAGATCAAATAGATGAGAACTTGAAATTGGCTTTACAAAAAGATTTGATTGTTATGGCACCTGGCCTGACCATACAGGTAAGTGAAGGTATCCTTGATTTTACGATATCTCGTAAAGATCTACAGAATGTTTGCTCATCAATTGCAGAATTCATGCAATTTTTTAATGTATTAGGGACCTTTTTATCCCCAAATGGTTCACTGCAGCAAATAGGTTGCCGAAGATAGCCAGTTGAGCAAAGCAGTATTTTAAATGTTTGGTGTTTCTGAAAGATAACACTGAGGATTTTTGGCCCTGTAGTAGGATGACATTTATGAAACTTGAAATATTTAAGTTCAAGGGAATTGGTTAGTTTGACATCTTGGGGAATTTTTAGTATGATTTGAAACAGTCTCTGCCAAGATGTTTCAGAGATAGTAGGAACTGCAGATGCTGGAGAATCTGAGATAACAAGGTGTAGAGCTGGATGAACACAGCAGGCCAAGCAGCATCAGAGGAGCAGGAAGGCTGACGTTT